GGTGGAGTTCCAGTTAGACACAGGAAAGGGGGAGCTATGCAGAGTCTCTGGAGGAGAAGAGCTGGTGCTGGGAAAGGGAGAAATAGCAACTGCTCAGTGCTGAGTCCCCACACCGAAGAGTTGATTTCTGTTTGCGATAGCGAAAAGAGGCTCAAAGCATTGTGCTAGGATTAGTGTCACAGGTGTGAAAGACAGTCCCTGCCCCAGAGAGCTTACAGTCTTAGCATGTGACGAGCGATAACAAGTGGTACTTGACTCCTTTTTGGTGGTCCATTCTGGACACAACCTGCTAAGTGACTGCTCTGGGCCTCTTGGGATCAAAGGGTTTTTTACCTCTGGGTTTGGTGTTCTGTTTGACTTCTCCTATTAGGCCCAATTGTATTACAAGCTTATAGTGAGTCATAGTCTGACAGGAGACTGCAAGTCAGGAATGTCTGACTCTGAATCCTGGCTTGCTGCATGGCCTTGTGCCTTGGCTTCTCCATCTGTATCATGCAAGTAATCCTGATCCACCTCCTAGGGGACTGGGAGGTTCCGTATATTGTGGTGATGATCTTTAGCACTTGCCTTTATCGCTGCGTGTCTGCTCCCTACCTTTGACTCACAAGTACTCCTGTTCTTTTTGCGGACTAACATGTCTGCTACTCTGTAGCCTGGTCAGTTTGCGCTTTCTGACTTTAGTTGGTTTTTGTTGCTGATCCCAGCCGCTAGCCCAGGGCTGCTGGATTTGGATTCCCCATGCTGCAGGGGAACGTCCAACTGTTTTCATTGACTTAAACCTCAAAGCTTTCCAGGCACATCCGTTTATAAACCCGCCCACCTTGTCATTTGCTGCAGCATCACCTGAGCGTGGGCTGAATTCCCTGACAGTGTTCTCCCTTCCAGTGGGGCAGATAGATCCCTCAGGAATATGCCCAGGGGGTGAGCTCCAATCAGCACTGATACGAGTCATGTCCTGTTGTGCTTCTCTTTCAGCAAATCCGATGGAAGAATTGAGGTGTCTACCCACCTCAGAACCAGCCCAATTTGCCATTGCCATGCCAATGAGAGAGGAAACTATGGAGCCAGCCTCAGTGCCAATAGAGCAAGTTCCATTTCCAGTCTTGGTGGTTTGTCTGATATTGCCAGTCAGTGCCAGTGGCTCCTGGGACAGAGCGGCATCCAGGCTGACATAAGGCAAACCCAGCTATCTGGCTAGTGGGACAAGACACTGACCAACTGGAGTCAATGCTCTGTAACGGGCTAGGCCATGAGGTGGGCATGGCTTCAGTGTACAGAGGGAAGTAAAGTCAGGCAAAGCAGCAGCTACTTCAGATTTGTGCAGGATCAGGACTCATTCAGGTGAGAGGAACAAGACAATTACCCAGAAAAGATCTCTCCTAAGGTTAGAGGTGACCCGCTCCCTTGCCATACCAGCTGCTAAGACTGGGGCAATGATGGCCGTGTCAGAAGTGAAGATGCAGGAACCGCAGACGGCTGCGTTCTCCCTGCCTCTATGAGCGAGATGGGTAGGGAAAGACTTCTTGCCGCTTAAAACCCCAACCTTCCTGTTTCTCTGATTCAGAAAGGAAGCTTTCAGCTAAACGTCTGCGGATTGCATATCCCCCCCTACAAAGCCCTCCATCTCAAGACCTGCCCCTTCACCCAAAGGGAAGCTGGGAGTTCTGCCTGGAGCTCATCATCTCCCTCATTGGGTTGGTTAGAGAATGAGTCGAAATTCCCTCCCAGCAAGTGCTGAAGATGCTGGCCCCACGGAGCCCCTTGGAACAATCTCTTCTCCCTGGCCTTTACATTGGGAAAGTTTTTGTTACACCCCATAGAAATGTGACTCTCCCCTGGGGTTCCCTGCCAGCTTTGTTGTGTCAGACCTCGCTTTCTGTTCCTTAAATAAAACTGCGTGTCTGCCTCTCCTTGTGGCTCCTATTTACTTCCTATCCCAAGTGGTTTACTGTCACCCTGTGTCCTGATCATGAGGGGTTGCCCCGTCTTTTGAGAAGTGGGCACATGAGATGCACCTCAGAGTATCCCAGGGCCACAAGAAACGTGACTGGTGGGGTAATTTTGCCTTAAAGGAGAAGCTTATCCAGGGTGGCAACCTTGGAGTCTCACATCCTTGATGTTCTCAGCAGGGGCATGTCTAACAGAGAGTGTTGCTGGGGCGCACACAGCCTTGCAAATGCCACACAAAAAGGGTGGTTATTTATCTGTTGGAGCCAACAGCGGTCACATGCCAGTCTCAGGGCAGAGTCCAGCTCCAGGGTGCCTCCCTGATCTTAAGTGTATGATGAAGTGAGAATTTTGGGGAATATTTTTCTGACCACTATGTATGTCTCAGTTTCCCCTATATGCTGCATTGTTACCTAGTGGGTGGAAAAGGACTGTTTGCTCTCAGAGCAGGCAAAGGGTTGGATCTACACTAGGAACTGACATTGCTGTAGCTATGTTGGTCAGGGGAGTGAAAAAGCCACACCCCTGAGAGTCGTACCCGTACCAACCTAACCCCCAGCATAGACAGCACTAGATTGATGGAAGAATTCTTCGACGACCTAGGGCTTGTCTACATTTATAGCGCTGCGCCCTGTACTACTTTGTGAAGATGCTACCTATGCCGATGGGACAGCTTTTCTCGTCAGCATGGGTACTCCACCCCCACCCCGAGAGGCGGTAGCTATGTCTACCCTAGGAATTAGGTAGTGTAGACCAGGGCCTAGCTGCCGCCTCTCAGGGAGGTGGGTTACTTATGCTGATACCAGAAAGCCTCCTGTTGGCATAGATAGTGTCTATAGTGCGCCGGGGTAGCATTGTAAGTGTAGACATACCCTAAGAGACATAGGTATGAATGTTGCCTAGCTGACTGAGCCAGGATGGGCCGTTAAAAGGGACAGGCTCAGGCTGACTTTATCTCAGTGGTTCTCAACCTGTTCATCATTGTGGGCTGCATATGTGGCCCACAGTGTGTTACCTGGGCTGCAGGTTGAGACCCACAGCATGCCCCCCCCCTCGAACCTCCCCAGATTCCTATGCCCAGTACCTCCTGCCCAAAGACCCATCCACAGAGTGGGACCAGGAACAGGGTGCGGGGCTGGCTGGCAGCTGCAGACCCCTGACCCTGCAGGGCCAGGCGGGCAGCCCCAACCAGGGCCGGCTCCAGCTTTTTTGCCGCCCCAAGTGGCGAAGAAAAAAAAATCACGATTAGCGGCACTTCGGCGGCTGCTCTACCACGCCGCTTCATTCTTCGGCGGCAATTCTGTGGCTGGTCCTTCCTGTCGAGAGGGACTGAGGGACCTGCCGCCGAAGACCCGGACGTGCCGCCCCCTTACAAGGGCCGCTTCAAGCACCAAGTTGCTGCGCTGGTGCCTGGAGCCGGCCCTGGCCCCCAATCCTGGAATCCTGACCCCAGAACCCGACCCTGCGGGGCTGGGCAGCCAGGCAGCCAGGACCCTGCCATGCCAGACAACCAGGAACCTGGACCCTGCTGCACGGGCCAGGTGGCTTTAGCACACAGTTGGGCCGTGCACAGTAAATCTGACCATGGGATGGCAGGGCTCTGATCCTGGCAGATCTTGCAAGCAAAGCAGAGTTGAGTCTGGTCATATAGGAGTGGGAGACCTACCAGCTGCAGGAAGTGGTGCTGGTAATTGATTAGGGTGCTTTTTCCTCAGAGTGGTGGTAGGAGGTGATGGGTTTCTGATGAGATGTAAGGTCATTACAAATCTCATGGCACTCTGCAAAACCAGTAGGGTGGTGTCCTCATTAAATTCCAACCGGGATCATTCTACTCTTTCTCCCTAAATTCCCCCTCCTCTATGTGGTAGTTTCAGTAGGGAACAGAATCATTTTTTGTTTCCTGTCCTAAATGGTTGAGTAATATTGTTGTGTAGCTGTTTAAACAACTGCTGCACTCCATCCCCTGGATGAAGTGATCCTTGCATAGAGTCCACTTGAAATTTGTAAAATGCTTTTGGCCTTTTTGGAATTAAAAGTACCATAGAAATGTTAAGACAGAGCTCCCCCCAAAAAAGAATTACTGTACCAAATTTACCCCTCCACTTTGCTCTGGGAAGAACACAGGAAACCAGTGCAAAAATGTTGCCAGCACCTGCCTAGCATCAATTTTCACAGGAGCTTGGTGCCTGAGGGTATAGCTGAACTGTAATAAGACACCTGTGGCTGGCCTGTGTCAGCTGACTCAGGCGGGGGGGGGGGGGCGTTTGGGCTGTAGGGCTATAAAATTGCTGTGTAAATTGGGCTTGGGCTGGAGCCTGGGCTCTGGGAACCCACGAGGGAGAGGGTCCCAGAGTCCAGGCTCCAGGTGGAGCCCAAACGTCTACAGTGCAATTTTATAGCCCTACAGCCCGAGCCTTGCGAGCCTGAGTCAGCTGCCATGGGTCACCCCGGGGGTGTTTTATTGCAGTGTGCGCATACCATGAATGGCCAATGCTAACCTAACCACTAGGTGTCAGGATTGCATAGCTGCACCCAGAACTGTCAGGCTACTCACGTTAATTTGATGTGGTGGGAGTGAACTTCCTGCCTCCAGAGGAGCTTATGACTATGAATAAGTTTGTCACGGAGGTCACTGAAGTCATGGATTCAGTGATTTTCAGAAACCTCCTTGACATTTTTCCCTTCAGCTCCAGGGTGGCAAGGGGCACCTGGAGCTGTGAGGAGCTGCTGCAGTGAGGGGCATCGAGAGTGGCAAGGAGGTGCCACCGTGGATGGCGAGTGCTGCACCCTGCTCCCCTCCTGCAGCGGGGCTTGGGCTCTCTTTCCCCCACGTGGGCTTCAGTCAACCCCTCCCCCCCCACCCTATTATTTTTAGTAAAAGTCACAGACAGGTCATGGGCAATAAACAAAAATTCATGGAAGCCCATGACCTGTCTGTGACTTTTACTAAAAATACCCATGACAAAATCTTAGCCTTACTCATGACTCTAACTATTATTTTCTCCCATTCGCTGTTGGATGAGAGATGTGGTCCTGGCCCTTAAGGGTCTGGGCTCTGGTGCCTCGTAGGCAAACAGCAAGGTTCTGACCAGGACATTTGGTAACTAAGCAATTGCCATGACAACTTCCCTTGTTTGGACTCAGTTGACTGGATTCCAGAATAGGAGGAGGCCTGCTGTTGAAAACCTGAAGCTTGGGGAAAAGGAGTCCAGCAGGTGGGAGATCTAGGAGGCTGCTGAGGTTTTTTGCTCAAGCAAGGAGCACTGTATCCTGCTTGACGAAGGGGGTTTTGTCATCAGCACTTCAGCTGGGGCAGGACTAGATACAAAATTCAGACAGTAGAAACTGCAGGGGGTTTGTGTGTGTTAGATCTTCAGGCAGGCCACCTTTATCCACCTGACGCCACTGGAGTCAATAGAGCTACTCGGGGGAGTAATGGCTACAGGATCAGGTTCGGTCTTTTTGTGATGTTATAAACAAAGCAGTTTGCTTATAAATGGAGTCTTGGGGTCTGGCTTGGTGCTACAGGCCCGCTGCAGATGGAGGGCATCTTTGGCCATAATCAGCCTCCCGACTACTCAGTGGGTATTTTGCCTGAATAAGAAGTGCTGGAGAAAGCCTTAGGAACGCCCCTTCCCTGCTATATTATCTTTGTGTAGTCAGGGCTGTTTTTGGGATCAGTTTCAGGTGGGCACAGTTAACAGTTCCCAGCCCCGGGAAGAGAGGAGGAAGTGCCTTATGTTGCTCAGCAGCCCCCCCCCTCCCACTGGCCACTCAAGCAATGACTGACTCCAGCCCTTCTTGATTAGAAGAATGGGTCAGCCTTGGGTTAGGCCAAGTGGTGTAATAAGCTATCTGCTTCACTGAAACATGCCTGGCTGTGGCCTGGCTTGAAGAAGTTGTTTACCCAATGTCTAAAGAAGCCCCATTGTTGTCAAATTAACTGAAATGGTGACTTCCTGATATGGGTCCGAGCCTGGAAGATGCTGAGCACTTTCATTTCACTTGGAGTCAAGGGTGCTCAGAACTTTGTCTAAAATTGGGAACCACCAGAGGGCCCAAGCTTACAGTGTCCTGGGTTTGTGTTGTGATGTGCTCTGCAGTGAGACTGAATGCTATTCCTGTGGAAACCCCGGGTGGCTCTGGTGAGGCTCTAACCCCAGGCAACAAAAATACCAGGCTCTATTCTGAGACCTAAAAGCTGTTCAGCTCCTCATGCTGAGGGGAGGGATACAGAAGGAAGGAAGAGAGCTGCACATTCCCTGAGAGGCTTGGGAGGGAAAGTGGGGCACACAATGCTGACAAAACTCAGACTGGTGATGAATGAAAAACGTAATACTTGGAAACTGGAGTCACTCACCTTGGCTCTAGTTTTCATATTACTTGTAGCTCAGGAGCAGAGCAGCCCAAACAGCGCCCTTCCAAGTGCTGTGTCAGCAGCTTGCCAGTTGTTGCCAGCCACAGCTATACTTCATAGAATGAATTAGATTGCAGCTCCATGGAAACAATAATCCCAGCATGCAATGCTTGATCTCAGAGGCTCTGCTGCTTCCCATGCTGGGATCTTTCTGCTCCTCCTTACTACTGGTAATGTGTGTCATGTTGTTAAAGTAAAACTAGGTGTATATTGGCTACCCCTGCTCTGTGGGAGGAGCTGGGGATTGGCTGCAATGTCAAACTGATGGATGCTGGGCCACTCTTCTAACTGCTGCTCATTGCTGAAGGTTCTCATGCGGGGCCACGATGTCAGATATCATGGTGAATTTGAAGTCCTTTCAGTCTGAGCATGCGGTGGAAGAAAGTGAGCAGCCCTTGCTGTGTTTGAGAAGCCGCTGCAAGGGGCTGATGGTGAATGCATGTGCCCATGCTGTCTTCTTCTGCAAGCTGCTCCATGCCCTCAGGTAAGGCTGAAATAAGCATCCTTTCCTTTGATGTTTCTCAGTATTGATGAAAGGAGCTGGCTTGACAGGCCTGGAGACTGAAGGCCGCTATTTAGCCCCAGAAAAAGGGCAGCTACTGGCAAACTTCCCCTTACCAACAGACCTCAGTTCTCCCCTGGTGGAAATCAGAGGAGTGAGAGAAGAGTTCAGCCTCAGTGATCCATTTGGTCTTTGACTAAGATTGTCAACAAGAAGCCAGTTAGTTCCAGATGTGGTGGTATATTTTATGATGTGGATGCCCTTTTCACGAGAACAAGACCCCCAGCTGATTCAACGTGGGTCATGGAACAGTCTTCAGAGTGCAATGATGTGTATTGGTTACTATCTGGCTGGGTGCCCTGGAGGTGGGAGACTCCATATCTCATTCCCAGTCCCCTGAGCCTGTGAGTTTCCCTGTCTGTGCTGGCTAAGGTGAGTGTGACCATTCCTTTGGGATCAAGTATCAGAGGGGTAGCCATATTAGTCTGAATCTGTAAAAAGCAACAGAGTCCCTGATTGAACTAACCTCGTTATCTCCATACTGATTTATACCTGCCTCTGGAGATTTCCATTACTTGCATCTGAAGAAGTGAGGTTCTTACCCACGAAAGCTTATGCTCCCAATACTTCTGTTAGTCTCAAAGGTGCCACAGGACCCTCTATTCCTTTGGGATGTGGATCTTAAGTCTCTCTGTGTCTCTATCATCTCAGGGTTAGATCACTTGGAGCTATACTGTGAGACCACTCAGAAGCTGTGGTTAATTCAAAATATTATGGGGAGCTTTGCGCAGGGAGTAATAACTCCAGTGCTCTGTGAGCTGCACTGGCTGCCAGTGGGTGGAATTAAAGGTGTTGGTTTTGCCCTTTAGAGCCTTAAATGGTTTGTGCTCATATTACCTAAGGGGCACCCCTCTCCCCATGCCATATTAATGCACGTGTGGTCACTAGGACTTGAGTTGTAGCCCCTTGTTAAAGAAGAGAAGGAGCTGCTAGCAAGGTGTCTTTGAGGGCCTCTCAGGTCTGGAATCCACTTCTTCCTACTAGAAATCTGTAACCCTTCTGTCCATGCTGCAGAACTCTCCTTTTCTTCATGGGCATTTGAGGAGAGGACATGATAAGGGATGGATGAGGTTATTTGTTGTATGGCGTAATTAAGAAGTGGGGCAGGGTTGGATTATGGTGATGTGGGTACCCAGCAGTGGATCTAAGGTGAATATAGATGTTGATCATTGTGAATTTTAGATCTTGGAAAGGAATAGCTGGAGCTTGGGCTGGCTGGTGCTAGGATTTATGTTTTAAAAATGGGAATGAATACATAGCACTGACGCTTTAAAACATGGGACAAGTCTTCTCTCCTTTCAGGAAAATCTGGTCAGTGTCTTTTTCCTAAGGAGGACAGTGTAGTGCAGTTTCAGGGTAATGGATACATTTTAGTTCCTGGAGGAGTGATGTCAGCTCTGTGTGTCATTTCTCAGGCAGAAAGCGAGTGGGAAGGTTTCACTGATTTCCTCCAAGGAATCCATGGGCAGTGAAGGCCTGAAGGTTGGGATTATTGGTGGAGGCCACATTGGAAAGCAGCTGGCCAGGGCACTACTGGAGCTGAGTGACATTTCGGCTCAGAATATCCACATCTCCACCAGGAGGCCAGAGACTCTGTGTAAGCGTTAGTGAATCAAGGGAATTTGAACAGGAAAAGACCTAGCATATCTAACCTAGGCACCACTGCCACTGCAAGACTCATATAGTGTGTTCACTCCTGCTTTGGCTGGTCTCACTTTCAGTGTCCCAACTCGAGTTGGTCAGAATTTTTTTTCCACAGAGAACTTTTGACTTTGTCAAAAAATGAAAGCTCAATGCTTTCAGCAGGAAGCAGACACTTTTTGTGGGAAACTTTGTTTAGCTGAACCCAATTTTCCATCAAAAACCATTTTGATGTAAACGTCTTGACGAGCCCTAGACCCAATCAATGGAGTTTTTACCCTTTTCCTTCCAAAGTCTATTCCACGGGCTGTTACGTTTCAGCATTAGGAAATGTTGATAATTCTATATTTTCCTTCCTTTTTTAATTTCACTCCATTATTCCAATCATACCTCGTTAGAGCACCCTAAACAACTCATCTTCTCCTTGGGATTTACAGCCTTCAAATATTTCTAGAGATTTATTGTATCCCCCACTTTAGCCATCATTTGGAAAAGTGATACATATTTTGCTCCTTTAATCTTTCCTCATAACTCAGTCCCATCAGTCTCTTAACTGTTTTTGCTGCCCTACTCTAAATTCTCCCCAGCAATTTTTAACGTCATTGCTCAGTGGCTGCAACACCAACTGACCTATGCATTAAATATTCACATGATGGCTAAAATAGCTCTCCAAATCAATATCCATATTGATCTGAAAAGCTACTACTGCCAGGGACTCTCCTCGGCCTATTGCTGTAGGGTCAGTAGCACGAGATGCTCCTTTCTCTCTTTACTCCAAATTGTTAAAATACAAAGTGAAAAGGGGTGGATTGAGTGCTTGTACTACGTTATAGATCATAATTGCATGCAAAATGTCAAATGCCACATAAAGCTGTTACATAAACCAAGATGAACAGAGGATAACTGTTCTGGAGGGAGATGCTTACAACAATAAAATCCTCTCAAGGGGCAGAGAGGGAGGGGGAGTTATTAAATGGCTTTTTATAGATCTTGAAAATCAGCCAGATCCTGATTGCTTCAGTTAAAGTTTTAATCAATATTCATTAAATGGTGCCAGACAACCACATTTTCTGACTATTTATTCCAAGCGCAGAGGCTCATTTCTCTGTAACCTGGCTACCATGGGCTGTGCATCAATAATGTTAATGGGTAGCTGCTAATTAAGCTCTTAAGGGCCACCTGGTGAGAGGAGCTGGATTGCCCCATTATGAGCTGGGGTGATGCATGCTTCTCACCCCTTACCAAGGTGTGCCTGAGAGCAAACACCATCATGACCCTACCTTACACAAGTGTGGATGTTGCAGGCTAACTGGCTGCTGCTCCTGACCTCTTGGAGCTGAGGTGATGATTGCCTTTTCTGTTTGTCTTCCCTAGCAGAGTTCCAGCAGCTGGGAGTCGAATGTTTTTATGACAATGGCCAGCTCGTGGCCTGGGCCGACATTGTGTTTCTTTGTTGCCTCCCATCTCATCTACAGCACATCTGCTCAGGAATTCGTGCTGCTCTCCGGGAACCCTGCATTGTGTACAGCCTGGTCACTGCTGTCCCGCTGCCCAGGTAGTATTGATTGCACCAGTGCTGGTTTGACAGCCCAGCACACTAAATCCCCTGATTTGTCCACACATCAGGCAAGTACAGTGCCAGCACTGCCAATGTGCCTGACCTGGCATGGGGGCTGCAGTGTTGCCAGCTCTCATGATTTTATCACAAGTCTCGCAATATCTGGTGGTTTTCTTAAAGCCCCTGCCTTGGGAGTCACATGAATACATGAGAATTTCAGCTTTTATTTTTTAAAAAAGTAAGTTTCTAGCTCTCATGGTTGAGGAGAAAAGCTTGAAACGTTTTGAATGCACCCTAAGGGGTCAAAATCCAGAAGGCCAGAAATAAAAAGTAGCATTATAGAAGTGAAGTATTATATAAAACAAATTCATGATTTTTTTTAAATTAACTTCATAATGGGGGGCGGGGGGGCTGACTTAGGATTTTTGAATGTTTGGGGTGACGCTATTGGGAGAGGTTCAGTCTCTGTGGACCATTCAGTTCTTGGACGCTCTGCTGAGATGGCTAACAAGGGGACAAATGTAACAAGGTTCTTTGTGCTGTAGACATCTACACTAGGAACAGTGCTGAGACCTACAATCTCATTTTACACAGGCTGCTAAACAGCCATTTCCTGGGAACACCCTTCAGTAACTACTGAGATGGGCTGGATTTAAACCAGGACTGTAGCAGTGAAAAGCAAATGTCCTATTACTGACCTCCAGTGCCACCCAGTCCTTCTCTTGGGCTTCTATTATTCTGCAGGATATGGAAGTTACTTTACCAAAGTAGGGAAGGATTAAGGGCCAGATCCCAGTCGGTGGAAGATCTATCAATATTGGACCAGGATGTAGCAGACTCACTTCTTCCCTTCCTTCAAAAAACAAAACAAAACTGCTAAAGTCCCAGCTGTTCTGTGAAATGTCCCAGCTCTAACATGCTCAGATTAGAATCCTAGCAGCATTGACTCAGCCTCCTCTGACTAGTGTATTTGGTGCCCTGCACTTTACTGCATGTGGTTCTTTCAGACAGGATCTTAAACATTTAAGGTCCCATCTGCTGTGTGGGTATTGACCATCCCTGGCACTTACCCTAAGAGCAGAGATTTGCCTTTGTGTCTGGCTATAACATTTATCCTTATCCCCGTATGTTGTCAAGTGCAATGGCTGGTTGCTTTCTTTGCACCCCAGAGGTGGCTGCATTTCAGTGATGCTGTAAACAGAGTTTGGAATGAATGGTATTATAGAAATATACTTTTATTCTCATTTGGTGTGCCACTCTCTAGGCACTAGATACCTCTCTGAGTTATTTGACTGACTTTGCTTTCAGGTTGAAGCAACTCCTTTCCTACAGTGCCATCCTGAGGCCACAGTACCACTGCACTAGCAGAAACTTAGAGAATATGTGGGGGACAAATGGGACAATCATAGCTGCACTCCAAGACCCTATTGTTATACAGGCTACCTGTCCCTGTAGCCCCAAAGGTAAATGTATTTCTCCTCACTTTGCAGGCATTTTCCTGTGGAGTTAGAAACAATGTCTTTGCTTGACATTCACACTATTCTGAGCCTGTCCTAGCCCCAGTAAGAGTCATGAACAGGGCTGGGTATGGAGTAATAGCTACTCAGTTTCTATCTCATCTGAGCAGCACTGAATGAGAATAATGGTTTGGAAATGCAGAATATGGAAGAAAAACCTCCTAATAAAAATGCTGGTGGTGCTGTCACTGGCTAGATAAAACTAGACTGAACAAAACATAGAATTAATATCTAGTGGGGACCAATCCTGCATGGGCAGGGGGATGGAGTAAGTGACCCCCAAAGATCTTTTCCATCTCTGACTTGTTTGATTTTGTTAGTTTGCAGGTGTTTCAGTGCCCCACTGTTAGTCAGGACAATTACTGTGGAGAAGACCTCTCTCCATGTGTATAGTGTATGCTGTATGCCTCTGGAACTCTTTTCTGACTCTCCTGAGAGCCATCGTTTCCTTCAGTGAGCTAGCAGGAGCCTTGGCACTCTCAGATGGGAAAGCCAGGAACAGGAGCTAGGAGACCTTCTGACGGAGTGTAGATCAAGACCAAGTCAGTATTTTGGTGTCAACCCTGACTAAATTCCAACTTGGGAATTGCCTTGCCACCCCTAGAGTCTCCCATCTCTTCACCTGGATATGGTATTCCTCTTAACTTCCTGTCCTAAACTGTTAGCCGTTGTTTTCCACCACAGGGACAGCTGCAGTGGGTGAGTGGTCCTTCTATACACCGCTTATTTCAGTGCAAAGTGCTTTACATGCTAGACGGGTATAAGCTAGTATATTATTATTATTATTTATTATTTAGTTATTACTTACTGGATTTGAGCCTCTCCTCCTTGGCCTGTGAATAAGCACATTGCAGTGCTGTTACCACGTTGACCCTTCTCGATAGGGAACAAGAGAGGAAGAGACATTAAAAAATCTCTGCTGTTTCCTTCACATCAGTATGCGTAGTGGTAACTGACAACATTTGTTCTCTGATTGTTGTGCAGAGAGAATTGCTGTCACTGGCAAGTGGTTGGAGGCCGTTTTCTATGCAGCCCTGAACAGCTGTATGTGGCGGCACCTGCCCCACCAGCACGCACTGAAGTTACTGAATGATGTATGTTTCCCTGAGCACTGCCCCATCTGTACAGAGCAGAAGACCTCTTGCCCACGGTTTGTGTGTGGGAACTTTGTCAACCAAACTTTTGTCTCCTCCCTGACTCAAGAGGAGTAAGTAAAGTGCCAAACTTCAAATGTTTCTACTTGGCCACCCTCCCTGAACCTTTGCCACATCCCAGGATTTGAAAGCTAGGAGTCTTCCTATTGCAGAGGAAGAATACGGTACACACCCTCACTTCATGTCATGCACCAGTGAGTGCTGGGTCAATTTTCAAAAGCACCGAAGTCTTATTGATTTTAATGAGACTTGGCCCCCAAGTTCCTAAGTCATTTTTGAAAATGAGACTTTGGCACTTTTGAACATGTTACCCTGTGTGATAAGGGATGGACAGCCCAAAGTCCAATATACTGGCAATTCTCAAGCAGCCTGAAATCCATCCATTGAATACCTCAGTATCTCACTCTGAGCCCCCAGCCTCTCTATTCCGGTTTTTAGAGATAAGAATTTACTCAATGGGGATATGTAGGACCTATTCCAGTTGTGCAACTTGGTGTAAAATGATAAAACGCAGGAATGTCCATACTAGACAGCCCAGACCGATGGGCCTTCTAGTCCACTATCCTGTCTTTGACAGTGGCCAATACCAAATGCCTGAGAGAAGGTTCAAGAATAGTCTCAATTTTTCACTATGAGTTATCTGTCCATAGAGAGAGTTTCTTTCTAACCTCTCATTCAGTGCTCTGAAGCAGGCAGGCTTATATATCCCTTCCTTTAAATAAATAAATGTGAGAGAGAGGGAGGGAAAAAACATCTAATGTAACTGGGGCTGTTCTTAGCCATCTAAATGTCCAATCCTGTTTTGAATCCTATGACGCTCTTGGCATCAATGCTATTTTGTGGCACTGAGTCCTACAGGTTAAGTATGCATCATTTAAAAAAAAATCCTTTTATTGATTTGTAATTTGTGGCCTTCCAATTTCATCAAATGTCGCTTTGTTCTTATGTGAGAGGACATGATTCACCATCTCTAGGCTGTTCAATATTTTATATACCTCTATCATGTCCCTTCTTATTGCTCTTGTGGCTAAACCACAGTCCCCATATTATCAATCTCTCTTTACACAGAAATCTTTCCAAGCCTTTCAATCTTTCATTGCTTATCTTTGAAACCCCTTCTATTTCTGCTATATTTTCTCCTTTAGATGGAAAGACCAGAACTGAACAGAGTATTCTGGGTGAGGGTGTATCATTGATTTATTACAATGTTGTTATAAAACTGGCATTAAATATTGTCAACATTATTTTCCATTCCATTATTTATGCAAACTAACATTGTTTGCTCTATGGCCACTGCACATACAGCAGAAATGTTTTTTCTGAGTGGGTACAGGTAATTTAGAACCCAGCAACTTTGAGTAGTTCATATTACTCTTTCCTGTGTGCATTATCTTGCATTTGTCAACATTGGATTTCCTCTGCCATGATGTTACTATTCACTCAGCTTTGCGAGGTCCTTCTGAAATTACTGAGTCATTTCTAATGTTGACTAACCAAAATAATTTCATGTCATTTGCAAATGTTGCCAGCTTGCTGTTTGTTCCTCTTACAGATCACTGATAAATATACTAAGCACTGGCTCCAGCATGGAAACTTAGGGCATCCTATTTTTGGCATGGTGAAAATTGATCATATATTTGTACTCTTTCCTGTCTCTTCACCACTCTCTGATCCATGACAGAATTTTACCCTGTGATTCTAATTTACAGCGACTTCATTGAAGGGTTTTGGAAGCACAAATGAATTGTTAGCCAAGTCATCCACATCTACAGTTTTGTCGATACATTCAAAGAACTTTAGAAAGGCATGATTTTTCTTTACAGAAGTTGTGCTGGTTAGGCCTAACACATCATGTTAATCTAGGTCTTTTATAGTTCTTTTTAACTGTCATTTAAACCAGTTTACTGGTACTGAAGTGTGGTTCATTTGTCTGTAATTCTTAAGATCTCCCAAGATAGGTACATAATTTCTACTCTTCTAGTAGCTCCTGCTGCTGGCCTTGCACTCCCACTCCTTCTCCTGTTTCATTCCCAGTGCTCAGCAAAACTTTTGGTTTTAGTGTTTCCCCCCCGCTTCTTGTTAAAGAACCACCACCTACACTAGCAGTCTGGAGAATATCGTCCCTCCCTGTGTGGTGCCTCATGACTACAGCCTGCCAATGCCACCATATAGTTATAATTGGGTTTTGAATGAAAATGATGAACAATGTTCCTTTATCCTTTTTAAGCAACCAGACTCAGAGTTAGAGAAGAGAATGGGGTGTCAGGAGACCTAGGTTAATTTTTTCTGTCTGTCACAGACTTCCTGTATGAACTTGGGATGTCACTTCCTTTCTCTGTTTCCCATCTGTAAAATGAGGTTAATCCTCACCTAATTCATGGGGGGAGGAGGGTGTGAGGCTTTATTTATTTGTAAAGTGCTTTGTAGTCCTCCGACAATGCTATACAGACAGAAAGCTTTACCGCTGCCCCCTTGTATGGCTTTAATCTTGTGGAGCTTCTGGCCTGCTCCCACCAATTTTGTGTTTTTGTTTAAAACATTTAAGTTAAATTTAATGTTGGTGGAAATTGCTAAATGAACAGACCCAGAGTCTGAGAACTGTCTTTTATCCCCCCAGAGCAGGTGCAGTGGCAAAACTAGTTTCCTTCTCACTCCCAATGTGCCTTTGAGGGACAAGTGCTAGGAGGGAGAGGGGAGTTCAGTCTCCAGGGCCCACTCAGTGCTTGACCTCTCTGCAGAGATTGCCAAAAAGGGGGCTAATTTGTCGGGTGGTTTTTCTTATGTGGTCACCTGTCCAGAACAAACAGAGTACCATCTGGTTACGGGCAGCCCTCTTTATCATCTTGATAAGTGGATGGATGTGCTTGATGTCTCCAGATCATGTTGCCATGATAGAGTGGCTACATCACTTACCTGACAGCTGATTAATTGTTTGTGCCGTCAAAAGCCATATGCGAGAAGATCTGTCCACTAAGAACCAATCTGAGATCCCAGCACATTTCATATAGGGCACTGACCAGATGTCGGATGGTGTGTCACTTCCCGGTGGTACCCACAGTTCTGAGGCACCTCTCTATCACCTGCCCTTAGTCAGTGTGAGGAAGCCATAGGCCAGTCCTCCAACTCCATGGGCCATGCAAACACTTCCCTCTAGGCCTCGCAGGCCCCACTGTCACTCTGCAGGTTAGTGATTGGGACATGCCAGCCTTCGAGCCCTCCGAATGTTCCACTGGACACTGCCAGCCTTCGAGCCCTCCGAATGCCCCCCCTGTTCCACTGGACACTTACAGCATTCACAGATTGGCTGCTTCCAAAGAAACAGTACAACCCAGCTCATCAGTTCCACCTCAGATCATGGTTCTGTTTAACACACACTACTTGTACTTTTGTACTTGATTTTACTATAAGCAAATCTCACTTTATTTAATAAAACATAGAGATTCAAGTAATAGCAAGTAGAAATATTGAAAACAAATGCTTATATATAAAATAAAATTATAACATGCATTCTAGAGATAATTAGCAAGATATTCTCATGTCTTGTAGAATGTTGCTTACCCCGAAATTCTTCTCACAGTGCTTTACAGCCAGGCTGGCTGTGACCCCCCTTTTCATAAGACAAAAACACTGTTAGTGTGCCTTCTACATGAAGAAACCTGTGTGTGTCTTTTTGCTCCCACAAGAGATATCATTCTTATGCTTTATCTTCATTCATAAATAGGACACACCCTCCCGCTCATTGTGTTTTCCTATCTATTTTTTCCCCTTTCTTTCTCTCTTGTGTGGCAGGTGGCTCAGTATGCCCGGAAAGAGAGAGAAACATCTATTATCTCCTGCCTGGAAGGAACATGTCAGAGGTTTCTCACCTCCTGGTGACCTGCCTTAACTCCCAAACCTGACTAACATAATTTTCAGTACAGATACATACATTTCACAATGATTATGTTGACCAGTGGGCTACCGGCTCTTGGTAGAGACCTCATATGCCACCCTTCAGTGAACCTTTCTTGCGAATTATGCAGTTATCTACTCCAAGGAACCCTTGTAAAACCTTATGTGTACCCCTGTGCCCTCTGTCAGCGGGCGCCAAGAGATCCTTGGGTCACATGTGATAATGCTTTTGGTCACCACCAGTGAAGGCTTGATTTGAACTGAGTACTAGATAACTCATTACCAATTCTTGAGCCATCCCTCCCCACTAATTCTGTTTTCTGCATTATTGTTTGATTAGTTGTAATGCAGTATCATCCAGAGGCCCCTATCAGGATCAGGGCAGCATTGTGATGGGCATAGTACAAACATATATAGAGATAGCTGGAGGGTCATGCTGGAGTGGACTGTTCTTATGGATAGTGGAAGACGATCCAATGGCAAGGCACTGACACTCTTGCTTTGGGGCTGGTCTGATGGATACGTTTGTTTATGGGTATGCAGTAGGTCCATTAAGTCCAGTTTGTGCAAAATCATCCCATTAATACCACAGTGAGTTTTGCTCATTGTGGGCGGTTTGTCCAAAGAACACAAGGTTCTGAATCATGTTGCTTTCTCAACTGGCTAAGACAGAGGACTTAGACCAAAGAAAGCCATCTTGTTAAATCACAGGTATAGAACTGCTAGCTGTTGCCCATAAATAATACAGCCTGTTTTCTCTTCCCAGCACCTTCCCCTGGTTTGACCTGACAACTGTACAAATGAAGGAGTCTCCCTTCAGTCAGCTCCTAGCAAGGAGTGTGCTTCTCCAGAACCATCTTACTTTTTTGTACTGTACCTCCTTTGGAGTTTTGCTTGCAAAGAGTGGAGGGATGGCCAGCAGTGGCCTCTGGCAGCAGAATGTCTTCTCTTTCTGCCGCAGCAGATCCAAGTATGGCGCTGGGTCATGAGTCAATGTCCACCCACAACTGCTATTGATGTGACTTGGAAAAAAGATCAGGAGATGTTCCTAACACTGATTCTGAAGCTTCATACAGTATAACGACAGTGTGATTCCAAACCTCCAGGGATGGAACTGCTTTGCTAAGGTTTAATGCTGAAGAGAACTGTGGCAGAGATTAAGACCCCTTTCCTACCAGTTCCCATTGTAGGATCCATATGGTTGTGCGTGGTGGAGGAATGTACGGTGAGGACTTTGTCCTGCAGTGGAAAGGATAAAGCTGGAATGGCATGTAAACCTTTACCTGACCATCATCCACAGCACAAACCAACTGCAAAGTAGTGGGCAAATTAAAACAGTGAAAATGAATAGCATTCTTGACTCATAATTCTGACATACCGGCAAGCTGCCCAACTTGTATCCCTTTTGATGGGGCAAGGCCAGATGGCTATAGAAAAGTAGGGAGAGACAGATATATTCGCCCCAGGCTAAACAAATCCCTGTTACTAGGGTAAGTAAATGGCAGCTGCTCCAGGTCAATTAAGACACCTGGGGCCAATTAAGATATTTCCAGAAGGCAGGGAAGATAACTAGGTTGATTGGGACACCTGAAGCCAGTTAGGGGCTGGATGAAACTAGCTAAAAGCTTCCCAGTCAATAAGTTAGGTACACGTGTCAGGAGCTGTTGGAGGAACTAAGCATTAAAAATCCATATGAGGTGCAAAGAAGGAGACCCTGAGGTAACGGTGAAGGAGATATTGAGTGGGGGCTGCTGTGGGGAAGTAGCCCAGGGAATTGCACATGTCCTATTTCCAAAAAGTCAGCTACCATAGCTGCTACTACAGTAACTCCTCACTTAAAGTCGTCCCAGTTAACATTGTTTTGTTGTTACGTTGCTAATCAATTAGGGAACATGCTCATTTAAAGTTGTGTAATGCTCCCTTCTAATGTCACAGCCGCCTGCTTTGTCCACTGCTTGCAGGAAGAGCAGCCCGTTGCAGCTAGCTGGTGGGGGCTTGGAACCAGGGTGAACTGGCAGCCCCCTATCAGCTCCCCGCTCCCCTAAGTTCCCTGTGCAGCGCTGCCTGCAGTTCAGCTGTGTCCCTCCCCCCACTGCCATGTGCTGCTCCTGCCCTCTGCCTTGGAGCTGCTCCCCGAGACTCCTGCTTGCTGTGCAGGGGGGAGGGAAGGAAGAGTGGGGCTAATGTCAGGGTGTCCCCCTCTTCCCTGCTCTTGCACCCCACTCACCCCATCTTCCGGAGCAGGGGGGACAGACCAGGACTCAGGACAGAGGGAGCTTGCAGCAGCTGCCTATCAGCAAGCTGATCTAATTAACAAGGCAGTGTACTTAAGGGAAATGTGCATATCTTCCCTCCATTCCTGCTGCCTTGTGTAGAGAGAGAGTTAACCCTTGAGGGCTCAGCCAATTGCTAGTTCATCATTTAGCAGTAAGGGAAATATCCCACCCTCTGACTCCTCCACCTCAACCAAGCTTCACAATCATCATCACTGTGTACCAGTATTAAATTGTTTGTTTAAAACTTATACTCTGTGTGTGTGTGTGTATATGTATATATGTTTGTATATGTATATATGTGTGTTAATTTTTTCACCAGACTAAATATATATATATATATAAAATAGTCTTTTGTCTGGTGAAAAAAATTTCCCTGGAACCTAACCCCCTCATTTACATTAATTCTTATGGGGAAATTGGATGCGCTTAACATTGTTTCGCTTAAAATCACATTTTTCAGGAACATAACTACAGCGTTAAGTGAGGAGTTACTGTATTAGGGTCCCTGGGCTGGAGCCCGGAGTAGAGGGTGGGCCCGGCCTCCCCGATTAATCAGTGAGACTGGGAGACAACAGAGACTGTGTGAAGGAGGGTTGCTTCTCCTCACCTCCCTTGCTGGCTTATGATGAAAATGGCTCAGTAGGCTGTGACCCTTGCCTCTAGAGAGAGAGAAGGGCTATGGGGGGGAGGGGGTCACAGTGAGCCTCTGAGGCTAGCGAAATCCGCCAGAAAGCATGGGACCCACTGAGACAAGGACAGAGCTTTGTCACACCATCTGCAGTCTTGCCTATCTTGTGGCCACATATAGGTCTTGGTAACACCTTCACAGAACATGAGTTGGCTACTGCTAAAATCTTTGGGGTTTACATGTGGTAGCTCTGAGTCCTCTCTCTGGAAAGGGTCACTGTTCAACAAAGTATTGGAGTCAGTGGGCCAACAAGCATGGCTGTTACTGAACAGTCCTGGAACCTAACAGTGATGACTATCTGTCCCAGAGCGAGATGAGGAAAAAGTGGGAATTTGCGCTGCTTGCTCTTTAAATGTTTAGTGGAATCTGCAATGTTACTCTAATCAGTGCATGCTTTTGTTTGTTTTGGTTTTCTATTAAACCTGCTTGCCTGGGACGTTAGCACTCTGCCAGATAACTGCTTTATTTCAATCCAAGCTCACTTATTAAAATGGCATTTTGTCCTAAGACCTCAATTCAGAGTGTTGGGCACATTCACTTTCTGTAGCATTTTTGACAGGTAAGCAGGAGAGCAGCCGTACAGTGGCTGCAGTCCCACCACATTGGGTTTTGAACTAATAAGATCTCACACACTAAAGAGGATTGTACCTGTTCGCTATTTGGACTGGGGATCAAGGAAATCCCTGCTGCTGCTGCTGAAAATGGTAGTGATGATTCAGTAGGAAGCATTTTTTCCTTTGTCAGGATTGAACCACCACTTAATCATAGTGCCAGGAGATGCCTTGCTGCTGAAAGTGTTGATGAGACCTAAAAGTGTAGGATGAGATGTAAAACCAAAATCCTAACCATGTAAAAGATTGCATGATACTTCTCTCCATGAGGAAAGGGATTCCTGCATTATATAGTTTGTAGAGCATCTTGAGATCCTTTACAACACAAGGCACTATATCATAAGGAAATTATTATATACATCACTTAACTCTTTAAACTTATTTCTGTGTGTGGGATCAGTGAATGAGGTCAGCTGGATCTGTAATGGCAAAGACTAGAGTTTGGGGAAAAGCCTTATAATCTATCACCTGAGCTTGACGAAAGCGGTGTCAGTGAAAGGTGATTAAGATTTATCTATGGTCTAGGTGATAACATGTGAAGTAGCAGCAGTTGATAGGTATTCAGACATGACTGAGCCTCACAGAGCTCCTGCAATGGGGGAAAAAGGGAACCTTTAGGATAATATAACTGAACTAATGAGTTCGGCACCTGGCAATATCCCAGAGGGGTTTCTTTAGGAGTAGAAGTTTAAATGGCAAGCGTGTTCAAGCGAGGGACTGTGCATGGCTGAGCATACTGTCAGCACTAAACAAATCACAGTATCGATGTGCCTTTCTTTAATCCGGAGAGGATGGAATTGTAGCTTCTTGAACAAAGAAGGCGAGGGCGTCTGCTTTCACAGCAGTCTGGGATTTTTACAAAGGTGGAATTGTAGCATATGGCTCTAATCCTGTTTCTTGGACAAACTGAGAGAAGGTGAGGGCATCAGCTTTTGCACCAGTTGGGGCTTTGTGTTCTAGAAACAAGCCCAGGTTGTCCCTGTAAGGGAGGGCAGTGCTTCTGCTCCAGAGAGGCTCCTCAATCCCCAGCAGCTCTCGCACATGCCATGAAATCTCCTGAAATGCAAGAGGAAACATAAGGGAGCCTATTCTTAGTGGGGTGGCTACATTGATAGAGCTCTGTAGTGTAGAGCTGCACAGAAAAGAACTTCTGCCGTTTCTCGTTTCAGAATGTTTTCCTTTCCATAATGTAGGAGCTGGAGAGTGATCTGGCAAGATGAGTCCAATGTGCAGTTATGATTAGAAAAGAGATTATGTAAAAACAGAACATTCTGATTACTCCAGGGATTTACTGTGTGTTAGAGTCAGAGCTGCTGCCTTTTTTGCCCCAAACAGGTTTGTTTAGTTTTTTTTTTTATTACTATTAGCGCTTGCAGAGCAAACACAGCTATGGGTGAGTGAGCGGGATTCTTTCTTCTCTGCCTACTACAGCATCATCAACACTGTCTGCTAAATTGTGTCTGTAGAATTTTTATTACTGATGAGAATACAAGAGGCAGAAAGGCCCAGATGGATCAGCAGTGGCACTGCTCACTAGAAAAATTATCTGACTTGTAACCTGAGCTAGCTGGATCTGGAACCATCAGTGGGAGGAGCCTGACTATAATTTTTAATATAGTCACTTTTCAGAATATAAATCTTGTCTTTTAAAACCTTGATCAATTCACCTTTCGTGTTTCTAATCAGTTTTACTCTTTGCTAAACCACATCCCATCGTGCAGTTTCAAGTGGGAGGCTGTTAGGGTCTTCTACCTGGTACTCTGGGTACCTTTAATATGATTTAAAATAACAATACAACTAGAACAAAACCAGCAGCAACCTGGAGAAACTCCAGCAAACCCCCAGCCCTAATGCAATCCCTTCAACAGGACTTCACCACCAACATTCCACTCCTTGTAAACTGTAAAAGGCTTGAACAGTAAGGTTCTACAGTTCAACTGGTGCTCTCATAATCACTTCTAGCAAGTAGCTGGGTTTTGGTTACATACAGGCTTGCTGTGGTGTCTGAGTGTCATATACACAGGATTATAGCCTCACTGCAGCATCAATCAGAAATTGGGTTAGGTTCAGAGAGGAGACTCATTGAAAAACCTACGTGGGTCAGATTCTGCTCTTGGCTATACCAGCATCACTCCTTTGTACTCAGTGGAGTGATTTTCAATTTGTAACAGTATAGCTAAGAGCTGAATCTATGTGTCTTCAGTAATAACAAAGGAAACCAGGAAGATAATGACCAAGGGTGGGGTTCTCAAAAATGCCTACATTCCACTCTCTATCTGTGGGACACAGGTTCCTAACTCACATAGGTGCTTTTAAAAATATTACCCCAAGTTCATTTTGCTCTGACTATACATTAGAACTAAAGGGTTAGAACTGTTCAGCCAGTCAAGAGTTAAGATTGGCCCAAATGCTTGGTGCTTTACAGCCTAAAGAAAACAATGTTCAAATTCCTTCCACCGTGCATAAAGATTTTATCTCTTGTTGCGTGTGAGCTGCAAACTGTTTGAATTTCCAGCTCATGCCCTGTGATGGAGGCAACCGTGGATAATGAACATATGAAACAAAATTGTTATGGCTCTGCAAAAGCAGCCTATGGCCCATTTGAAGTTCAGTACCCTCTAGCTCATGAGGATGCAGCTAGCCAGCTCTTTTTATGTGACAAAGAAGGCAATGTACACATGCAGTCAAAGAATAAGAATCATGCCTAGTGGATTTAAAGTCCTTTTCAAACAATCCCCACAGCCTCACTATGAGATTGGGAAAGGATTTTACCCATTTTATAGGTGGGTAACTGATGTAAAGAGAGGTTGTTGCCCAAATTTTCAAACTTGGGTGTTTAAAGTTAGGCATCTAAATCAGTTACATGATTTTCAGAGGTGCTGAATGATTTAAACAGCTGCAGCTCACAATGCGCATATATGGAACCCAGGTCACTTATGTGCCTAACAATATGGAATTAAATGTCTATGTTTAAATACCCACTTTTGAAAAATCTGGGTTAAGAAACTTGTTCAAGGTTACACAGAGTCAGTGGCAGAGCCAGAACTCACAAGATCCAGGCTCGCTGTCCTGTTTTCTAGTCACTTGATTATATAAAAACCTCAGTTAAGACCCCTGAAAAGGAAGACAGCTAGGGGCTCAGCTTTATGTAAGTAATGGGAATGGGGTGATTTAGCAATCAAGTTGCAAACCCCGAGAAGATAATAAGGTGACAAATGACAGTCAGCATGGAATTGTCAAGAACAAATCATGTCAAACCAATCTAATAGCCTTCTTTGACAGTTCACAACCCTTGTGAATAGGGGGAAGTGGTAGATGTGGTATATCTTGACTTAAGTAAGGCTTTTGATAGTGTCTCACATGACCTTCTCATAAACAAACTAGGGTAATACAACCTAGATGGAGATGCAATAAGGTGGGTGCATAACTGGTTGGAAAACCCTTCCCAGAGAGTAATCAGTGGCTCACAGTCAAGCTAGAGGGGCATATAAAGTGGGGTCCTGCAAGGATCAGTTCTGGGTCCAGTTCTATTCAATATCTTCATCAATGATTTAGATAATAGCATAGGGGGTACACTTATATAGTTTGCGGATGATACCAAGCTGGGAGGGGTTGCAAGTACTTTAGGGGATAGGATTACAATTCAAAATGACCTGGACAAACTGGAGAAATGGTCTGAAATAAATAGGATTAAATTCAATAAGGACAAATGCAAAGTACTTCACTTAGGAAGGAACAATCAGTTGTACACGTACAAAATCGGAAATGAGTGCCTAGGAAGGAGTACTGCAGAAAGGGATCTGGGAGTCCTAGTGGATCACAAGCTAAATATGAGTCAACATTGTAACACTGTTGCAAAAAAAGCAAACATCATTCTGGGCTGTATTAGCAGGAGTGTTATAAGAAAGCCACAAGAAGTAATTCTTCTGCTCTACTCCGCACCGATTAGGCCTCAACTGGAGTATTGTGGCCGGTACTGGGTGCCACATTTCAGGAAAGATGTGGACAAACTGAAGAAAGTCCAGAGAAGAGCAACAAAAATGATTAAAGATCTAGAAAACATGACCTATGAGGGACCTATTGGCTGTGTTTAGTCTGGAGAAGAGAAGACTTAGAAGGGTATGATAACAGTTCTCAAATACATAAAAGGTTGTTACAAGGAGGAGGGAGACAAATTAATCTCCTTAACCTCTGAGGCTAGGACAAGAAGCAGTGGGCTTAAATTGCAGCAAGGGGGGGTTTAGGTTGGACATTAGGAAAAACTTCCTACTGTCAGGGTAGTTAAGCACCGAAATAAACTGCCCAGGGAGATTGTGGAATCTCCATCATTGGGGATTTTTAAAAGCAGGTTAGACAAACACCTGTAGGGATGGTCTAGATAATACTTAGTCCTGCCATGAGTGCAGGTGATTGGACTAGATGACCACTTGAGGTCCCTTCCAGTCCTATGATTCTATGTGTGTCTTAAAAAAACTTATTTTGTTAAAGGCTCTGCTGGTTTAGGTAATGTATTTTGGTTGGGCATACAGAAAACATAGTCACATTCAATTATAGCTAATGTTTTACCAGGTTAACTTTTTAATGCATTTCTCCTGCTGGAGCACTTGAATATTATTATTTAAGTCAATACTAGTTTCTCAGCCATGGACTGAAAGTGAGGAAAGAAGAGCCTGATGGTTAAAGTACAAGATAGAGACAGGATACCTCAGACTTGCTACATGACTCCGGGCAACTTCTTTCCTCTCTCACAACCCTATTTCAAAGTTGTGAAATGGGGATAGTAGTATCAGAGTTTCTGAGTTAACTGCACATCTGGACCCCTTGTGGCCTCCTCAGAGGCGCTCCGCATAGGTCTTAGGAATCACCTTTCTTGGGGTGAAATCCCATGATTTGCTCCCTCCAGATGGGGGGTCTTAGGCTGCAGACTCCTGCAATTCATTATGATCATCTCAGTCGGTCTTACTTCAGTTCAGTTCTGCTCTCTCAGCAGCAATGACAGGGTTATTCAGTGACCAGCCAGCTTTCATAAAACAATGTACCATTTATTCAGAAAAAAACTGTTTCAGAAAAAGTCAACAACAAGCAGTTTATATGCATGCCTGGCTTAGCAAGTGGTCATCTACCTTCCACTTCAGGTCCACAGCAGAACCTGTCGCTCTTGGACACAGTCAACATGCCTGTCAATTCTTGGATAGCATGTGAGTGATCCTCTCTTTAGGCCAGAGTTTATATTTTATACAGTTTCAAGTCCTTTGTTGTTTTAGGCCTTTTGAACCAGGTCAAACCAATCTGTGTTATTGCGGGGAGGAGGGCACAGTGAGGAGACTGTGAAACTTCAAAAGACTTGTTCCGGTATTGGGGAGTAGAATTAATTTCATCCCCTCCCTGGCCAGAGATTTTAGTTCCTGCAGGAAGCATTCCTTGTCTGACCCATTTAGCCAGGAATACAATCACTAGCAAGCCCATGAAGATACATATAACATTAATACAGTAGTGTTTGAATATTCCATGCTTCTGTCAGTTTCTATAGTATTTGTCACGAACAGTATCTCATGAGGGAGGCTGAAAATCTTTAACATCAATTTGCAGTTCTCTGATGCCTTCCATTCAAAGCTCTCAAAGTTCTCTTTTGAGTATTATCAGTACACATTCCTACCGTTGGGCCGTGCCTACGCACTCCATATTAGCTCAGAACCCTCTAGAAAGGCTCTGACCATTTGGGAGCTATATGGACCCTACCTTGAACCATGGAACATTTCATGTGAGGCTGCATAAGGTGAAGCCTCTGTCCATCCCCAATGCAGCAAGTAAAAATTCCTTCTGGTCCTTCCTTATTAGCTGATTTTGGGATCCTTTAGATGGGGATTTTTGTACAGTTTTAATTAGTGAAGACTAGTTTGTTGATTTTAAAAAATGGGATTTTGTAGATCGTTTTCCCCCCCCATATACACATCTCTTCATTAAGTGGTAGGACATAGGTGGGCAAAACACTGGAGGTTTGACTGAACACCCAGAAATGCAGGTGTAGATCCAAACTTCCTGACCCTGCTTCTCCACTCTTACACCACTTTTACACTAGTGAACTTCCATTGACTTCAGAAGAATTACACCACACAAAACTGGTGTAATGCAGTGAAGAATCACTATGTCTCCAAAGCTGGGTTGTAATTGTCAAACAAACAAGTGTTTGGACAAGATTTCTTTTGTTTCCTACTTGTGCACACACAGGAAGTACTGCCACAGCAGGCTTTCTTTCTCCTTTGTGGCCCTTCTGCCTCAGGTCCTAGATGGAAACCAGATGGGCATAAAGGCATGGAAATAATTTTTCTTTTAAAATACAACTTTTCTGAACTTCATAAAAGGTTTGGGGTCAGGGTGCATCTTGAATTTTACATAAAGCTTCGGGAAGATTCTTACTGCAGCCAAAACAGTGTGCCCAGTCCTTATGAGAAAAATATTGTTGCATTCTGTGTACCACATCCATCCAGGTCTTGGGCAGGTTCTAGTTGTCCTATTGAGCATGAGTATATAGAGCCTCCTATTATCATTAACAGAGCTGGAGCAGTGTTACATCTTGATGCAGGCAGAGAACAAACATGAACACTTGGAGAGGGGATGGGAAATTACACTCCTAATGGAGGAAGGCATCTCTGTGTGCGGCACTCACCTTCATGTGGTCAAAGTCCGTTATGCCCATCTGTGGCAGGTTTGAGCAGTTAACATGGATGAGTTTGCGGCCAGTGATGCAGTTAGTTGTAAAGCAGTCCTGGCAGGAAAATCAGATGGAAACACTAGACAGCAGTGAGCAGTACTGCCAACCCCAAGCATTCAAAAACCAACATTTGTCAGCCTCCCCGCTGCCCAATCACGAGACTGGCGTAAAAGCAATGAGATCTTTAAAAATAATGGCTCCCCCCCCCCTTGTGGGTTCTGAACCTTTGGGGGACGCTGGCTTTACTCTTCCCAGCTCTTCTCCGTCACCACCAGGGCTGGAAACTTGTCCTGAGTTTCCCAAGAACGCAGAGATCCTGGGTGCTCTTGATACCAGCTTCAGGGGCGCTGCCAGGCCGAGCAAGGGAAGCAGGAATTTCTCTCCAGCGAGGGCCCGCGGTTGCGCAGCCCGGTAGCGCCAAGCGATGGCACCGCGAGTGGGGTTAGTAACAGTCCGAGCTCGCCCCTCTCCGAGCCCCCAGCTGGCCGCGCAGCGCCCCGCTAGCTCACGGCCCCGCCCTCCTTGCCCCTGCCCCTCACCTCGTACTGAGGGAAGCCCAGCTGCCGAACCCACTCAGCCACCTCCAGGGGGCTCCAGGCGAGGCAGGCCGGGCCAGGCTGGGACTCGGATTATTCGGGCTCCTGCTCGGACCCGGACTCCGGCTGAGGCCCGGTCTCCGATCCGGTTTCAGGCCCTGGCCCCCCGGACCTCTCCTCCTCCGGGATCTGCTCCATCTTGGGCGGCTACGCCCCGCCATAGAGCCATAGCAACGCGTCGGAACAGTCTCCATGGAGACCTCCACTTCCGGGCGTCTGGCAGCTATTTCCTTCCCCGCCAGGCTGGGCCGCCGTGTTACTGAAGCGCCGCCGTGCCGAGCAGCCCGCTCCGCCGCTGGGCATGCGCCGTGGAAGTGTTCTAGGGAAGGCCCGGGCCGGGGGGCGATAGGCGCGCGACGCCCAGGCGGTCTGCCCTCGGCTCTTTCCGCCCCAGGCTCGGCTCTTTCCGTCGGCGCCGTTTCCGCTTCTGGCCGCTGCTGACAGCTTCGGATCTTCCCGCCGCCTCGGCCCCCCTTGCCGGCCGCCCATGTCGGAGGTGCTGGTGGCTGCCGCCGGCTCCTGCTTCGAGCCCCCCGCGGCTGGGGAGCCGGGAGGCCGCCGCTGCTCCGTGTCCGAAGGGGACGCGCAGGGCCGCCGCTCACCTCCTGTTCCGCCTTCTGAGACTCCAGGTACTGGGGGGCACCGGGACGCGTCTCCCGCACTTGGACCCCGGGGCGCGGGCTCTCCCCGCTCCGGTCCCTCGGGTCTATTGGCCGCTGCGCTCAGGGGCTGGGGTTGGGGGCTGGAGGAGCTGCTGTGGGGCAGTGCTGCAGGCCGCGGCTGAGGGACAAGCTGAGCTGTGGGTTTGCAGCCTTCGCTGTGAAGCTGGGACTCGTGTGCACGGGGTGTGGCAGCCCAGCAGCGCCTCCCTGCGAGAGCACCGCGGGTTGACGGTGTTCCTTCCCTCCCTCCCTCTCGCCTACTCTCCCTTCTCCCAGGGTGGTATCTGCAGTGCTTGCCAGGCAGCCAAGGAAGTACAGTGTCTGTTACACCGCAAGGAGCAGTAATAGGGAGGGTGGGCTGGGAGTGGGAGCTTCCGAAGGGGATTTAGGAGCGATACAGCTAGTAACAAGGTAGTCTGCTTTCACTCTAGTTATGCTATTGCTGCAAAATCGGAGCTTTGTGCAGCTGCTACTTCCAGCTTTCTAGCACGCTGTTTTCAGTACCCATCTTTAGAACCGGGTTGGCTGAGGCCTTGGGAAGAAGTTAACAAAGCTGCTTCTGACCTCTTCCGAGGTCTAGGTATGTCTACACTGCGTAACCTAGCCTGTGATGGTATAGCTATGTCCGCACAGCCCCCTAGGCTATGTCTACACTACAGATCCTATACTAGTACAGCCCACTAATATAGACACAGCCCATGGAAGGAGTCTTTCTGTCAGTGTAGGAACACACCTCCCCGAACGATATTGTCTATGTCGACAGAAGCCCTTTTCCATCATAGCTGAAACTACACTGTGGGTTTTTGTTGGGTTCCAAACCCATATGTGTTGGGTTTTTTCCACACCCCTCACTGATGTACCAATCCTGACATAACTGTTAAGCATAGACCAAGCCTAACTTGCCTCTTGATTGATACAGTTGTTTATCAGTAGTTTGTTTCCAACAGCCTCTATCCCTCAGGGTACTGGGTTGTTTCTCTGTTCCCTAGTGTACCAGCTGCTTTATATTTAGAGAAATGTACTATGGTGTAAGCATTGCCTCATGTAAGGGAGATAATAATAACTTTGATTTGCTTAAGTTCCTAGCACTTTGGTCTCCAGGCACCAGTAAAGACTCCACTACAATCTTTAGACTAACAAAGCAATACAGCTCATTACAGGGAACCAATTAAGTTTGTTTGTTTGTTTGCTTTTAAAAAAGCAGCATTGTTTAGTGTAGGGTTAAGACTTGAGATTCCTAGATTCTAATTACATTTTTGCCACTGATTTACTGCGTAACCCGAGCAAGCCAGTTCCCCTCTCTTTGCCTCATTTTTTTCGTCTGTAAAATGTGGCTAGTAATACTGACCTTTCCCCCTGGGCTTATGAGATTTAATAAATGTTTGCTTAGCACAGTGGTATCATCTAAAATGCACTGTAGACATGCAAAATGTTTAATACCTGATGTGAAATCGAAGGCACCTGCCATTGTGGTACCTAACCAACTATGGAGTTGAGTGTGGTAAGAGCTGCTGACCACATCCCATGTATCACCTCAAGAGGGTAGGATGCTGGGCCTCAGTTTGAAGGGGCTGTGAGTCTAGAATTTATTTCTCCTTTGAAGCACATGCAGAGAATGTCTATGGCATCCTTGAGAGCAAACTTTGGGACGTTTATTTTCTCTCTGACTCTGTCGAGTGGATGGTTTATTACTATATGTGTGTGAGAGGAACATTCTCTTTCCACTGCCACCTTCCTATCTGCTGTCTTGGTCTCAACTTCTTTATTTTGTTATATCCAATGGTGTTTTAGCCATGGTGGTCCCAGGATATATGAGAGACAAGATGGGTGAGGTCCAATCTTTTATTGGACTGACTTTTATTGGGGAAAGAGACAAGATTTTGAGCTTACACAGAGTTCTTCTTTAGACCTTCAGAAGAGCTCTGTGTAAGCTCAAAAGCTTGTTTCTTTCAACAAGAGAAGTGGGTCCAATAAAATATATTACCTCACCCACCTTGTCTCGCTTTATTTTGTTATAGGCATTTCTGCATAAGGTGTTTACTACAGTTTCTAAACCCAGTAATATCTGATCTCCCTCTAGTTCTCTGGAACGTCCCTATTCTCCCCAGTCTAGCACTCTCCCTCGTCTACTTCTCCTTTAATGTCCCCTTCTAAAAACTTCTTTATCTCTTTAGTTCATGATTGTGGGAAGCATTTTGTAATCCTGTGTCAGGTCACCAGATGAAACATTTCTCCCCACAACTAGACTTAGTAGCGTGGGGCTTGCCTGATGTAGCTTATCCGTCACTGCCAAATAGAGTCATATGACATGCAGTCTTGCTGGCTGTTGCTTTTTCAGGCCATATTTTCTCTAGCCCTTGGCAGTAAAATGTTCTCACATTGGTTACCAGGTAGAAGAGACGTTCGAATCATGAGAATGACAGATATAAAAGATCTGCTAGGTTCCCTCTAATCTGTTGCAGGGGGAGGGGCATGAAGTATTGTTTCCAGAGATTGAGATCTAGGCTGTTCATACAGCCTTTGTAGGCAAGGAAGTTCCTTTTAGGTACTCTCCCTTGGAGAATCTTAGGGGGCCAGAATAGGAATGCACGAGCAATAAATTATAAAATCAACCTTGTCTATTGCTCTATTTATAAAGTTTGAGTGAATAGAATTATTTCTCCATTACACAAGTCATGTCACTCCTCAGATTTTTAGAGGCCTATTCAGGTCCCAAATATACTTTAATGAGTGCATCTTCCAGTAAAAGGTTCTTAACATCATGCTCTTTTTTTCTAAATGTTCAGAGAACAGATAATTAATAAGCATAAAGATGAATAGTTGTTTGGATCCTATACCCAAACAAAACATTATAAGCTTGGGACAGTGGGTTTCAATCCATTTCTTGGTGGAAAAATGCTTTGCTTTAAAAGCAACAAAACAGATACCTCACAACCCTGGTACTAATTGGTCCCCTTGTTTGTTCTTGGCAGAAGAGAGGAATGGGCCTTAGACTAGAGTTTGTTCTCCTCTTTAAAAGCAGTCTCTAGATCAGATTACAGAACATTGGCGATGGAGTATGCTGCCTGGACTGTTCCTGTTCTGTAGATCAGAGGCCTTTAATGTGTGGGGCTATTAATCTGCTGTCTTTCACTAGCACCAAATTCCCTCTATGAAAAACAAGTAAAAGAGAATTCCTACTGTAATGCGCAACTTTAAAAATCTGTGTAATTGGGAGCCTGTCAGTGCCCAATTAACGATCTTCTATGGGTAATGGAAGCAGACAGCAAGACTGTAGAGCATGCACTGGAATCATGTGGGGACAGAGCTTGCCCTGGGTTCTGGAGACTAGGGGGAAACCTGGAGCCTACATCTGAACAGAAATTTGTTTTGATAGTTTCTGACACAGGACATAGGGATCAATGTTATCTTTTCCCAAACACTCCACTGAGGGCCATTGAAAGCATTAAAAACCCTTTCTGTCTGCTGTGGGGGAGGGATAGCATACGGCACAGAAGGTTGCCAGGTCCAGCTTTAGGCTCCAAGGGTGCATGACCTCGGTGACGCTGGATAGCTAGAGTTTTGCTTTATTGTCTGCACATTCTCAAAGGTTAAAAGCTGTTTCATTTTCTCTCCATCTTCCACCCATTGCTAGAGAATGAAGATTCAGCCCCAAAACCAGAATCTGCATCCCAGACAATCGCCTCATCAGTGTCCGAGGCCTCACAGTGCAGGTAGGAAAAGATCTTTGTGTGATGACCCACATTAAATGTTCCTCAACATCAGGGAAATGGAGGATAATCTGTCTCTCCCCCACCTCCTTCTGAATCAGCGGTGTCTGGCAGCTGTTCCTCTCCAGGGCATTGGAGACCTCAACTTTCTGTTTTCAGGTTCTGTACACTGTAGACGATATTGGAAGAGCTATTCCTCTTGACTTGGGGTTATTTTAATGCTTATAAAATAGTAAAATATAACCCATGACTCACCTCAGGTTATTTGGATCACAGAGCTAACTAGCTTCCAACAGGAAATTGTCTGAGCTCTGGCTGAAGGATATTTTTAATAATTAAAAAACATTAGAGTTGCACACATTCAGCTTTTCTCTAAAACTGTTGAAAGCTTTGTCTTAACCTTCCCTTTTCTATCCCCAAAAAACACTCCCCCTCCCCCCCAAACCACACACACACACACACACACAAACTTTCAGAAACAGATGAGTTAAATAGGTCAAAATTTGGGTCTCACCAGTTTAGTGTCCTCCTTTTAAAAATCCCTCACAAAAACCACAACTTGAGGTAATCCTGGCTTTGATGCTAATGAAATCTGCAGCACAGGAGAGACTGAGATTCCTGCTGCCTTCATAATTACAATTTCATCCAGAGAGACTGTACAGCAGCCCAGTTGCTGGCTTTTGCTTCAATCTGATTTTATCATATACGCTAGGTAATCATGGAATTTAATTTTCTTCAAAGAAACTAGTTGGGCATTAAGTAAAATGCCAACCTAAATTTTAAATCCATGTGAATGTTTCCTGATAAATCTGTTTAAGGTCTGAGGGCTTTTTTGAAGGGAAGAGGGTGGTGGGCAATATGAAAGAGGCTTGAAGGGGGAGACGACTTACTTTCTTCTGTTAAATCTGCTTACAAATTTTCTGCAACTCTTTTCACCCTCTCCACAAAATCCAAAAGATTCAGTGTCCTTTTTTTTTTTTTTTTTTTTTTTGTCCAGCACCTTGGGGGGAACACTGTGACCCTGACCTGTTGGACCCACCTACCAGGTTATGTAGCATGCATGTGTGCTAGAATGAGATTGAGCCCCAGCTTGGTCTGTGCCACCCACCTATTGATTTGAAAAGAAAACGTAGTGGAAGATGTTGGTACATAAATTCAGGTGTTTGATTCAGGCTTCTAAAAGGATGGCTATAAACAGTTAACTGAACTCTGGAATGGGTTACTTAGGAAGGTGGTGGAATCTCCTTCCTTAGAGGTTTTTAAGGTCAGCTTGACAAAGCCCTGGCTGGAATGATATAGTTGGGAATTAGTACTGCTTTGAGCAGGGGGTTGGACTAGATGACCTCCTGAGGTCCCTTCCAACCCTGATATTCTATGAAGTTTTGTAACAAAAACATATTTAAAAGGTCTCTTTTTTTTTAAACTTTCTTTTGCTCAGCAACCTAGTGGGGTTATCTCTGTATCCTGACAATCAGCTCATTTGAACCACTCTTTTAGCGGAAACTGGTGGTGTGACATGCCCTTTCTACCAGCAAAAATGAGTTTAAGAGAATTTAGTTAGTTTTTGGTTCTTCCTGTTTTAGGGTCTAAGGTCGCATCCTCAAGGGAGTTTAGTTACAGAAACGACAGTCACGTCTGTCTTTTTCCAGCCTCCTCTTTATTTACAGAAACAGTACAGAAAGCATTGGAACTATTCTGTTTTTATTACACTTCCAACGTAGCTTGGAACAATCTGTCCCAGCATTACTCCAAGCACCTCGTATTCCTAAAACTGAAAATTTTCTACCATTGGTGACTAGCAGGGAGAGAGTTACTTCTCTCTGAGATGCTACCACTGATCCCTGTCATCAGTGCAATGTTAGCGAAGTAGCCCTTCTATGAAGAAGTGTGGCTGGGCTCAACTGGAGTGAATTACTGCTACCTAAGGGACTATAAATGGGGAGTGAACTCAGCAGAGTTGCTCACTCTGGCTTGGATGAGCTAAAGAGGACAGCTGTCTGGGGCTGAGGGTGGAACTTGGTTGAGAGAGAGCTTCTTGCTTTAATGCAGTGAATGCTGGCTCTAGGAAGCCCAGTTTCCTTAGTTTGTTTGCGTTCAAGCCCCTGGGGTGGATCATCACCTGTCCTTGGCTCACCTGGCTCAGTGTCTCATGCTCTTCAAGCATCTTGAATTGATGTGCTATCTTTCTCCGAGAGGCCGCAGATTGGATCACCTGTGAATGTGCATGCTGCAGAGGATTCTAGAAAAGGTGATGGTACGTCAGAGGACCAGGATGTGGCCGGACAAGGAGAGAAGCTGGCAGACCAGATCCAGCCCCCCAGGGAGGTAGGTGGCTTGCCACTTTTATTTCTGAAAGGCGAGACCAAGGTGCTGCAGTGCTTCTTCCCATCTGCTGCTGAGCCTGCACGTGGGGAACTGGGGCTCTGAGCATTTAGTTATGGCTGTTTCTGTACAATGGGGAGTTAGGAGTGACAATCTAACCTTTAAAACTCCGAATGTGTTTCTCTCCCCCGATGTATTGGACCAGTCCCTGCTCCCTTTCAGTTTCCACCATTCCTAAGGCTTCAAGACTATTCTCAGCTACCGGCTTTTGTCTAGTGCTTCAGGGAGTTCCTGTTAATTTTAAATAAACTAATATACAGTGTAACCCCTTTTGGGGTTTAGAGAGCATGGCCCCTTTAAATCTTTTTCCTAGGGGGGAGGGGGAGAGTGAGAAAAAAGGAGGGAAACTCCAGGGGGTGGCTCTGAAGCTCAGAGGGAGAGAGAGGCAGCAGCCCCCAGGCCCTCACAAAATGAAGCAGCAGAGAACCTGCCTGAAGCCTGGGAAGGACAGGGTGGCCGATCAGGGACACCCCAGGAGCTAGGAAGAGCACTGTGCCAGGGAGGAATCGCCTGAGAAGGACAGGCAGGAGCTGGACCCAGTATCAGGGATGCCCAGAGCTGCATGGGGCTGTGAGTACTGGGGCTTGTAACTCTGCATTGGGAACAAGGAGGGAGGTTGCTAGATAGTTAAGTGGGGAGGTGGTCGCTCTGTGTGGCTTTGCAGAGAGCGGCAGAAGAGAGCACCGGAGGGGGTTGGTTGGGGGGGGGGGGGGGAGTTCACTGAGGCCGAAGACGATCAGAAGCACCCAAGGCTCACCACTGCACTGGAACTTAGCTCAGGACTCCTGAACTCTGTGCAGACACATTGCTCGGTGTCCGCCCTTCCAGACTGTGCTACCACTGGGCCTGTGGGGCCTTGGTTTGGATGCAACCCTGTTTTACTGCTCCCCCTATATTTCCCCTTGTTGTTTTTTCTCCTCTCATCCCTCTGTAAATAAATATTTCCCTTTTCTTATATCCATTGTACTTTTCCTGTGGGTGGGTGTTTTCACTCTGGGGGGTTTGGAACAGGTGCCCCTGGGGTGGAAGGGATTTTTCCTGCTGCATTCCTGCGTGCGTTTTCTCCTCTGCAGAGCAGACTCCATCTTGGCCACAAGGGCGCTAAAGTTACACTTGGTGGCCCGTATGGGGACTTTGCAGTGCACACACCTACGTTGTGCACCCTGGGCTCTCCTTCACAGAGCAAAGAAACTTTCATCTCAGTTTCTCCCCCCCCCCGAAATACTGGGGAGGGTAAAGATCCACACCCGTATTTATAACCGCAAAGTGAAGGACATGGTAGCACTATGTACTCACTCCAAGGAAGCAGATCTTGATAAAGTGCCCAAAGAGGTGCAAGTAGAAGGTATCCCCTGGACAATTCTGGGGGCAGAGAAGTCCCCTCCTAGTGTATTCTTTAGCGCAGAAATTGCAAGCTCTGATGGTGGATGAGAAGCAGACAAGAGAAGAATTAATTTTGGCATTGGGAGGGGCTCCAACACCTGCAACACCCAGCCTGGTGGGATGGGCCAAAGAGCTGGGAAACGCTCTCAAAGATGCATTGAAGCTGGCATATGAAAGTGCTCCATACAAGCGGTTACGTTCTTTCTCAGGGGTGCCACTTGTCCAAGAGTGGGAATGCTCTGATGCTGAGAAGCAGAAACGTGTGCTTGAGAGTCTGAGGGGACCTGCCATGCGAATTATCCGAGCCCTGAAAGACTCACAACCAGCTGCCACAGTGCAAGACTATTTAACTGCTCTTGAGAGTGTCTACGGTACTACTGATAGCAGTGAAGACCTGTATTATCGTTTCCGCCATACCTATCAGGAGCCCCACGAATGATTGTCAAATTTCATCAGGAGACTAGAGGATTTGCTACAGCAGGTAGTGTGAAAGGAGGGCATCCCCACCAAGCGCATTGATTCTGCTAGGTTAGACCGAATCCTTCGGGGCACCCGACAAGATGAGTTGATGATGTGGCAACTGCAGTTGAGGGAGCGGGCCCAAAACCCACTCCCATTCCACAAGCTCATTCGAGAGATACGTGAAGAGGAAGATAGATTGTTGCAAGTGAACGCAGTGGTGCAGCCGAAAAAGGCAGGGAGTCACACCACCACAGTGCTTGGAGAGATGGAAGAGGCCCCGTCAGTGGCAGCAGCACTGAGAGATTTAACCCGAGAAGTGGCCATGATGAAAGCTCCGGGACGTACTGTGCCATCCTCAGGAGGGGTGATAGCCGGCGAGGAGGGTTCTGTTACAACTGTGGAAGAGATGGTCACTATGCCTTGGACTGCCAAAACAAGACAGATCATGCAAGGGTATCTCAGAGATTGCAGCAAACAGTTAGAAAGCTTCAGGGAAACATCAACAGGGCTTGGGGAAGGAGCATCCCAAGACCCTGAAATTCCAAGACTCCCCAGAAAAAGATTTAAAGGGGCCATGCTCTCTAAACCCCAAAAGGGATTACAACAGTAATTCCTCACTTAACGTTGTCCTGGTTAACGTTGTTTCGTTGTTCCGTTACTGACCAATTAGGGAACATGCTTGTTTAAAGTTGCGCAATGTTTCCTTATAAGTCGTTTGGCAGCTGCCTGCTTTGTCGACAGCTTGACGGACTCTCTGGAAGAGGAGCCCGTCCTCATGGGGATTAGAACCAGGGGGGTCGGCAGCCCCCCCCCATCAGCTCCCGTAAACTTCCTGTAAGGTATGTGGCTCGGCAGCTGCCCAGCAGCAGTTCAGGTGGCCCTCCCCCCACTGCAGTGCTGCTCCTGACCTGCCCTCTGCCTTGGAGCTGCTCCTGGGAGCTTCCTGCTTGCTGGGGAAGGTGGGGAGAGGGGTGTTGATGTCATGATGTCCCTCTGTTCCTGCCCACCCCGCTCCGTACCCCCTCTCCACAAAGTGAAGGAGGGGACAGTCACAGGGCTTGGAGACAGAAGGGTGGGGCGGGGAGCTTGCAGGAAGCTGTTGCTTCATGTCTGAACTGGCTGATCTGCTTAAAAGGGCAATGTACTTGAAGTGGGGTCAGCGTACTTAAAGGGTCGGTCTCTCTCTCTCTCTCTCTCTGATGCACGCACCCCCCAGCACTTTGGAAAGTCAGCACCTGTGCAGCTGTGCATGTGCTGTCAGGAGGAGGGAGCAATGTGCTCCAGCGTAGGTTCATCATCATGTTCAGTTTTTGCAGGGAAGTGTTTGCAGCTACTGCCCTGCATCTATTGTGTTTCCTCCCTCCTGCCTAAGTCCATGCTGCCTTGTAGAGTGTGAGGCTACATTAACAACAGCGTATTAACCCTTGAGGTCTCAGCCAAGTGCTAGTTCATCATTTAGCAGAAAGGCATTCCCTGGGAAATATTCCACCCTCTTACTCCACCACCTCAACCAAGCTTTACAATCATTCATTGCTGTGTATAATATTAAGCTGTTCGTTTAAAATTGTTTAAAACTTATACTGTATATGTACATAATGTCTTTTGTCTGGTGAAAAAAAATTCCCTGGAACCTAAACCCCCCCCCCCCCTTTACAATAATTCTTATGGGGAAATTGGATTAGCTTAACATTGTTTCGCATAAAGTCACATTTTTTCAGGAACATAACTACAACATTAAGTGAGGAGTTACTGTAGTAGATTTTTTGGGGGGTGATGGTGGTGAAGAAGCAATGTTATAGTTCTTTTAGGGAACAAACAGTGCCTGGTAATTTCAAATACAGCTTCGGAGAGACGTTGTGTAATAATACTCTTGCACCATAAACTCTGTATCTGCCTATGTGAGGAATGGGTATTGGCAGTACTGTGTTAATCTGGGCAACAGTTTTAACAAGTTCATAGCAGGCATCTGTTTAATTGTGACTGCAGTCTAAGCACTGGGAAAACTGAAGAGGCTGATTCCTATAACTGGAGCAGCTTCAGCACTAGAGAGGGCATCCTTTTACCACATAGAGCAATGATAGCCCCCAAACTCTGAGGCAGTGCAAATAGCTAGACTTACCTGTCTATGGAGATGATGCTTCCTTGGGAGACCAGAGGACACAAGCACAGTGCAGCATTTGACTCTAGAGTTTCACAGTGTTGGAGGCAGAGAAGACCATGCACAGAAACTGTCCTCTGAGCCAGCCAATTATTTAGTAAATATTTTATACTTGTAGCAGAAACCCAATTTGATGTGAATTGTGATGTGGGAAATTGATGTGAGTTCATGGAAATGGCTCCTTCTCCCTCCATCCCTGACAAACCATTTAAAATCCAACTGGAGGCTCCCAGAGCCACTGAGGAACTTTCTTATGTGCCCTCCACAGGAGGCCGTAGTGCGGATGACTAAGTACCGTGCCCCACAAGGACCAGGGGATATAGTCATGATACAGTCGGAACACACAGGTGCAGTGGATGTCCTCTCTGCAGAGCTGGAGACTGCGGACCTCCTTGGTGAACAGAGAAAAGGTGAGGACTGTGATGGTAGTAGTTCCCTTAGTTAGGAATGATGCCTTGTATACACAGATCTCCTGTGGCAGCAGGATTGGAACTGTTGATGCTCTCCTTCAATAGAGTGGGCAGAGGCAGTTTACTAGACGTTACCAGCTCTGTATCACTGGGAGTGGTCTGGTGGCTAGTGTGATACTCCCAGATTTGCCATTGATTTGCTCTGTGGCCCTGGATAAGTCACTGCTTTAAGTAGCTTTTGGACACGTCACATCACTTAGTATTGTATACCTTTTCCAGTGCTCGGCACTCTAACTGCCATTGAGTCCCTAACCTGCCACGTGGGTCACATACCCCCTCCTCAACTCCCATCTCTTTAGAATGTGCACCTGCTGAAACATTTCTAAGGGCTGGTCTTCACCATGGAGAGATCTGAATTAGATGCAGCAGGGATTGATTTAGCGGGTCTAGTGAAGACCCGCTAAATTGAGGGCAGAGCACTCTCTGGTCGACCCCAGTACTCCAGCTCCCTGAAAAGAGTAAGGTACCATCAACGCAGCACAGTGAAGACACCATGGTAAGTCAACCTAAACTATGTCGTAGCATAGTAGCGTAACTTAGGTCTACTTACCCTGGTAGTGAAGACAAGCCCTAAGTAAAGCAGTTTAAAAACAAACTCTCCTCCCCTTATAAATCTTAGCTCACAGACACAGGGGTGAGAAGATTTGTGAGTGGGAACCGGAGAGCAAGAAACTTAGTGAGGTCCTTTCTCCTGTCAATGCCTGAGTGTTACTCAGTACAGCATTTAATGGGAATCACGTATCTGCATCTAGAACAGACTGGATCCTGCTGCGTGTTGGGGCAGGTGAATTGGTGGGTGAGCTATCAAAAAGGCCATAGAGAAATCTAGGAACAGACAGAGTGGAGGAGGGCATGTTAGTGCCAGATACTGCATTCGCTCGCGCTCTCTTTCTTCCTCCCCCCTGCCCACCCCCGAAGACTGACCAGGAGAAAGGGCTACAGACAAAGGACCTGTGAGATTGGTAATAGATCCTAGCTTGGAAGAGAATAGAGTTTAAAATAAATTGGGCAATGGCTGACTACCCAAGATGTTTGAGGGATACTTGATGTTTGTGGAAATCTTTGAAATAGAAAGGGGACTAGTGATAGGGTCAGGACTGTTGCTGTGATCTCTTCTCTCTGCTGCCCTTTCAGGACTCAAGATGTCTCTTGCCATCATAAGTCCAAGATAGTATCCATCTGACCTAGCCTCATCTGTTTATCCTCCCTCACTATTCTGCTCTTATTTAATGTGTGCTGTGTTCCATGGTTGGTATTTGGATGCATGTGGAGTTACTCCTTCAGGGTGGTCTACAGAGGTTTGCTTAGAATTTCACATCAGTGGTAGCAAGGGTGGAACCTTTAGTTTCAATGAGGTGTCATAGTTTATAACCCTGTTCAGAGCAAGTTTGTACATGGTGGGGAAAATGCTAGTACCTTCTCTACATTGGAACTTCCACTGGTGGAGCTAAATCAGTGGGAAATTCTGAGAGCTTGTAGACAAGCCCCATGGGTCATGGGAGAGGTTATGCCTCTGGGTGTGAAGAATAAGCCATGTGAGCCCCTCCCACTCCTCCATTTTTATGAATTTTGGACTGAATTACGTAGGCTTTGGGTCAGCTGAGAAGGCAGTTTCTGCATGCATGCATGATGCTAGTTGGTTTCTATCTGGTTTCTTAGGCTGTCATCATGCTGTGCTGTCCAGTAACTCTACCTGCCACTGTTGGGTGTCTGTGTGGAAGCAGCAATGTTAAGCCACAGGTGGAGGTGAGGTGCTGGAGTACTGTGCAATGCACTTGATGGGACAGAATTTTTAGTTAGGCCTGTACCTAACTTTGGCAGTCTGACTCTGTACCTCTAGATAACAAGCTAATTCAGAGAATGGCTTTGCAAGCTCTGGAGGGAGGGAAGAAGGTTGGAAGGGAAAACCAAGAGAGTAGTATGTCCAGTTCTGAGGGCAGTGCTAGTGGAAGGCACCTGTCCTTGCCTTGAGAGGAGATGGAAGGTAAAGATTTGAGTTCAAGAGCTTTATCAGGAATAGCAGAACTCTTGTTAGCAGAACTCTCTCTCTTTGCCTTCTGACCAGTGATGAGTGGCTTGTCTTGTATTTTTCAGCTCAGCCTCCTCCTCTGGCTCCAGCCTCCACTTGGACCACTTGCAAGATAAGGGAATTCAAAGCCAAAATGGGAAAGGAGAAGAATGCTCAGATAGTGGTGAAACGGGGTGAAGTAGTGACAGTCCGGGTGCCAACACACCCAAATGGGAAGCGTGTTTGCTGGGAGTTTGCTACGGATGATTATGACATTGGCTTTGGGGTCTATTTTGACTGGACTCCTGTCACCAGTACTGCCATTACTGTTCAAGTCAGTGAATCAAGTGATGAGGAAGATGAAGAGGAAGAAGATGAGATCGAAGGTCAGTGCAAAACTTTACAAGAGAAATTAATGTTGTGTTCATCACCATGGTACCCAAGTACCTCCAAATCAGGTGCTGTAATTCCTCACCACTTTGGCTAGTCAACCTACATGTTGACTGCAACCCTTTTGGAGTCCCAAGCTAATGATGAGAAGACCCTTCCTAATGGCTGCTCTTCTCCCCCACCCCAGGGGTATGCTCCACCAATAACACACAGCATATCATTGCATATTGAACATTGATCACTTGCTCCCACTCTGTTTTCTATCCCTTGATCAGTTTCTAACCTGTAACCGGATCAGAGTACAGTATGAGACTCTGACTTAACTCTTTGATCATCAGCCTAACAGATTGCAATGCTGATGCAGTTTCTGGGTTGGAGAGTAGTGTTTTTCTCACTGTATCAGTAGCTCTTGCTGATTGCACCCAGAGGGCATGCTACACGTCTTTGGCGTATCTGTAGCCTAGAAGGTGCAGGGAGTCTCAAGACCAATGCAGGTCCCATCTCAGGACCAATAATGACTGAAATTAAGCCCCACTGAGGAATCCTCTTGGAGAAGTAGAAGGGAAGACCGAGAGACCACCAAGACCAGAGGTGAAACTCTCCATTGCATTCCTCCACCCACAATCAATTTCTCTCTGGCATTGGGCCACTTTGAGGAGACCCTGCTGTTTAAAGGTGTCTACTGGGTGAAGAGGACAAGGAGGGAAGTGGTGGAGGGAATTCAAACTATTTCCCAGTGCATCAGTCCCAAAGGGTGCCCCCTCTCAAAGCAGGCGTCCTATGTAGAGAGACTTTGGGTTGTGCATTGGACAGGGTGGGTATCTCAGCCAGTCTTCATTAGCTATATCTCATGTCCTTGTCATGTAACCATGCCTTACTGATCATTTCCGCTCTGTTGGTTTGTCTGATTCTGCTTGTCTACTCTCTCCCACTCAGGACTCACCCCCGTTGGAGATGTGGAGAGGGGCTCTAAAAGCTATCTACGAAACCGCTATGGGGAGATCATGCCTGTGTACCGAAGGGACAGTCACCGGGATGTGCAGGCAGGCAGCCATGACTACCCGGGTGAGGGCATCTACCTGCTCAAATTTGACAACTCTTACTCCCTCCTGCGCAACAAGACTCTCTTCTTTCATATCTATTACACCAGCTGAAGGAGTGGAGGGAGCAGAGACAGCAGGCAGGTAACACTGACCAAAGCAGGCTGCCAGCCGGGACTGGCACCCCCTAATTGGCACTGCCCTATGGCCAAGTGAGAGACCTGGCTCTCTGCTCTCCTGTGGATAAGAACAGGTTTTCCCCCATTCCCTCCCAGCTTACTCACAGGAAACGGTAGCTGTGGCTGCTCAGTCGTCCAAAGGCAACTCCTCTCGCTCTAAATTTCAGGAAACCTGCTCTGTGAAGGCATCAGGCTGGGACTTTTAATTACAGCCAGTAAATTGTCAGAGCGCAGATTCAGGTGGCAGCGTTTCTTTCTGTTGCACTTGTATAACTGAAGCTGAAATACCCTTTTATTTAAAAATCCGCAAACTCTCCTGCGGTGGTGTAGTTATGTCACAAGTGCCAGACCTAATCGCGTGAAACCTTTATTTTGGAGCCTTGCAGAGGTAATCAATAAGAAGATCTCCATAGGAAAGGGAAAGCAGGTGTGGCTGGGGAGGTGGATACAGATCATCCTGACAGTGGGGATGTGTGAAACTCCTGTCACCAACAAAAGTTTCTCTTACCTGTGGGGAAAATTGAGCTGCAGCCTCGTGTGTTAATGTAAAACTGTTAACAATCCCAGGTCAACACACTTTGAATCTGAAAAATATGGGATCAGCCTTTCCCTTATGTACCCGCCTGGAGTTAGAGAGTCCCTGAAGTCATTGCTAACTCCTAACACATCAGGGAATGCAGCTCCCTGGCCCACCTCAGGGGTTAGCAATGACACTGGTGGTCAGCCTCTGCTCAGCTCTTGGCAGGAATAAGCAAGGATCGCAGTTGGGTTTTAAAGGGTATTTATTTGTAACTCTTTAAGATTCGAAATGAGTATTTATTTGATTTTATTCAATAACATTCCCCTTCAATGTAGCTGCTGAATTTGCTCTGTGGTGCGTCTGTTTGGAGTTAGACTGGCTTTGTGCATGATGATTCTGGTGAAGTTCCAGTCTGACACCCTCCAGATATTGCCCTTCTGTGCAGATACAGCCCTCACTGCAGATGGGGTTAGTGTTGTCGTGTATAAAGTCAGTCTTCACCCTCCGAAGAAGCCCAGTAATTCCCTGGTGATTCCATACGCCTTGATTCAGACCCTTCTTTTTATCTGCTCTGCCTACTTAAGCACTCAGGAGCAATGGGTAGGTCAGGGAGGTAAGAGCAGAGGGAGGTGTACAGTTGAGCAGCCCTTGTTAGTCTGCTGCTTCAACAGTAGTGGGTGGGGAGGGCAAGGCAGCCTTGGCTCAGGCAACATGTGTTTTTGTTTTTCAGGAGAGGAAGGGGGCAGGGAGCACTACTGCTGTGCTAAAAGAGGAGGGATGAGAAGCAGGGCTGCTCCACCTTTAGGAAGCACAGAGACAAGGAGGGAGCAGCTGTAGCTCTTTTTCTCTTCCCAGGAAGGGAGAGGGGAGGGAAGAGCAGAGTGGCCCAGAGCTGGAAGGTAAAGTAGCCTCCTAATTCCAGGTAGCATCAGTGGAGGTGCCCTGCAAGGAGGAAGAGAAGCAGGTATTTTTTTTTTTTTTTTTTAAGGGTTAGGGCCCTCCCTTCCCTTCTGAGCAGCCTGGGCGGGGGCTCCTCTCTCCCTGACCCCCTAGCAGCCTGGGCAGGGGTGCCTGCTTCCTCCCCAAGCCCTCTTTGAAGTGCCAGGGCAGGCACCTCCCTCTCAAGTTGCTTCCATCCACAACCTCTCTTCCTCCTCCCCTCCCCCCGGGCCTGATCAGCTAATGCAAGGAACCCCTCTTTTACTCAGTCTGGCTCTCAACTTCCTAAACAACAGATGTGGAGCAGAGTCCTGCCCCATACCTTAAATATTCTGCTTCTGACTGTAAATCTCCATGTCCCCTGTTCTGCCCTCCCCCCAGCTGTGCAATGCATCAGTGACTGCTATGTATTTGGCCCTTTGCTACATATTTTGGAGGGTCCTGCATGCATCTGGAAGACTAGAGGAATGAGTGATGCACTGTCTAGGCCATCAGCTGCTGTCTGAAACAGGACTTAGTAAATAAGGAAGACACGTCTGACCTGTATATATACCAGGTATTCTAGAGACTGCTGATGTCATTGATTTTTCATTTGGAGAGCTCTACTCAGGGCCAGTGTTCTAGAACTGTCTCCAGGATAAATTGTTCCCCTTTAGCCAATAAGAGACTGTTTCCTTTCTAGGTAATTGGCAGCTGCTCCAAATAGTCCTTAGCTAAGGTGGCTGTACAGTAGATGGGAATCCCAGTGTTCAGTCCTGGCCTTCTGAAATAGAGACAGATCTTTCTTTTGAGGCTCAGTCCACTTCATCAGATTTGCCCCCTTCTTGCCTCCTTGATTAAGGACAAATGGTCCTTGCATATGGTGTGCAGTCCCAAGCTGGTATATGTGCCAGTCTTATTACCTCATTGTGTCTATAGCCATGTTTGCTGCTGACTGGAGCAAAAGGGCCTTGACACATCTTCCTTCATTGTTGATATTTCACCAGAGTAGCTTGTATTTCCCATAAACACTACACAGCTGAAAGTGGAGAATATTTAATCTACAATAATTAAAGCTTCACAGCTTCCAGGATAAGTCACACTTTTCTTTGGTCTTTCATTTCCAAGTTATGTGAACATATTGGTGACCTTGTCACCCAGGTACTGAATGAAAATATATGGGTGACTGACTGAGAACCACTTATCTTTGGAATGGTCTGCAGTTGTCACTAATTGTTCTTAGTAAAGCCAGTAACTCAGCCTTTAGTCTTGTTAAGATACTTTAATCAAGTCTCTAGCAGAAAGCATATCCAGTTAGCAAGGGAAGGACGCTGTATAGCCAGTGGCTTACAGCAGTTATTTCCATTCAGTATATGGCATCTTAAGCCCCAGTCAGATCAAAGGAATAACCTCCTCTCCCTGTCTCACTCCTCGCTAAGCTACAGCTTCCTTGGTACCTCTGCCCACAATACCTACTAGGCTTGTATCCTGCCCCGGTACCTATAGCTGAAGAAGTGTTGGGGAGACCTCCATTCTGATTGCAGACATGGGGAGCTGTGCCTCCTCAGTCTGAGACTAAAAGTGAAATGGATTCTAGTTTTGCAAGGCAGTTAGTAACCTAAAAATATTCACTTTTGAGGAAAGTTCCTAACTTGTTTCCATGGAGTGATGCTTTTGTGTGTGTTCCTCTCCTAGTTTGTGGCTAGAAAAAACTAAAACCTCACCAGAGGGGGGAAAAAACTATATTTGGCAAAGTGTTTGTCTTTCCTCCTGTGTGTTTTTGTGACTGAATGTGAAATTAATTACTGTTTTTTGTATGTTCACCTGTATTATGAATGTTATACACACCTGGGTGAGTTTGCATAGTAGTTTCTATGGCACATTCAGCAAGGGAGAGTATGGACAAACATAGCTTTTTGTGCAGGTCATACATAAAAAACAACTCTTGTACTTAAATTTACAACAGTGGAGACTTAAAATCCCTAGCACAGGGGTCGGCAACCTTTCAGAAGTGATGTACCGAGTTTTCATTTATTCACTCTAATTTAAGGTTTCACGTGCCAGTAATACATTTTAATGTTTTTAGAAGGTCTCTTTCTATAAGTCTATAATATATAACTAAACTATTGTTGTATGTAAAATAAATAAGGTTTTTAAAATGTTTAAGAAGCTTCATTTAAAATTAAATTAAAATGCAGAGCTCCCCAGACCGGTGGCCAGGACCCAGGCAGTGTGAGTGCCACTGAAAATCGGCTCGCGTGCCACCTTTGGCACACGTGCCATAGGTTGCCTACCCCTGCCCTAGCAGATTGTTACAATGTCAAAGGAAGTCATAAATTACCCACAACTCCCTCTTCCCTTCTCCATTGCGCAAGAGTATTGAGAGCAGTAGAAATCCAGGTAGTGTGTATTGCATTTAGGTCACAGAATTAAAACTCTTGGGGCCTGTTTAAACTGAAGTAATTGGCAAAATTTCATTGACTTCAATGGCAGCAGGAGTAGGCCCTTGGTTTTCAGACTACTTGGAGGCCTGTGATCTGGACCCTTCTGAAGGGTTATTTGTAGGGTTTTTTGTGCCACTTCTAGGGCAGACACTTTAATATTCGGGGCCTGTTAAATAACTGTGGCATCATGTTAAGTCTCTTTTGAAATGTTAGAGCTGGGATGAAAATGCACATTCAGACCTTGAGAGAGAAAATTTAGATGTCTGTTTTTAGCTTTTTATGTGGGAGTTTCTTAGGACTTTGTCTATTCTAGAAATTAGAGAACTTCCTGGCCAAAGCTCTGCCTCCTGTCTCACTGCCTGTTAAGTAAGTGTGTGTGTGTGTGTGTGTGTGTGTGTGTGTGTGTGTGTGTACGTACGCGCGCCT